AGGAAAAATACATTTAAGTGAATGTTTACTTATCTGGCTAAAGAAAAGCTAATAAAATGTCAATATCAGTCACCTACCATAATCACGAACGAACTTGTAAAGAATCGGTGAACTAAGTTCAACTGAAAAGTTAGCAACTGCTTCAAGTGAAGACTCCAACTTTCATCTTTCGTTCAGTTCCTTTTTAACCACAAAATAGAAAAGTTCTGAATTTGAGAGAAAGGAGTAGAGAAAGGGAGATGAACCTACAGCAAATACCAGGAGAGATCGTGATTCGCGGCAGAGAAAAACACCACGAAAAAGTAAGTAGGATAGAGTGCCTAGCGCGATGCGAGTTCCAAGAACCCTAGCGAGGCGAGCGAACGGCGTGAAAAACGTGGATAATCATAATGCGTCAATGTAATACCAATTTATAAGAAATTATATCTCGACGTAAAAAGATGAGAGAATAGCACATACTGAATAAAAATAAGATTGATAAATTGGTATAAGACATTAATCTATTAATGCAAATTTGTAAAAGACTAAATTCAACCTACAACTACTCAAGCTCAACTGCATATTTTATTAATTTAAAATGTTATAATTAATAAATTAGAAGATATAATTAAATTATTAAATATTAAAAATGTATTAAAAAAACGCAACAACACGAAAAAAGTAAACACGCACAAACGACTCAACACCCTATAAGTAATACATCCTATAAGGAAACTCAACTATAAAAACACACTCCACTCTCCAACGTATACTACATACAAAATAAACATAAAAAGACTAACATGAGTAACCTAATAGTAACACAAAATCCCAACAGTGAGCGCTAAATTTAAAAGCTATAGTATGATTCGAGAATCTTTAAAAATTAGAATAAACAGAGATGAATGTACAAACACATATTTCTATAATAGTCAAATTTAACTATATACAGAAAAGAAAACACCATGAATTTGTTGACGCCAAAACACCGGACTAACAAACAATGGACCCACTAGAGACCACACCATAAAGAAGCTAACTAATACCAGTTAATTCAACTCCTAATACGATGAAGAAAATTTTGACACTTTAGAATATTAATTAGATAAGAAAATAAGAATACAAGTAAGAATACAATTAAAATAGAACAATGTGATAGAACAAATTAAATTAAAAATAAACTGGTTTTAATTGCACAAATGCCTTAATAGATAAGAGACCACTTAAAACAAATAATGAATTGAATGATTAGTGATAAATGCTATATTAATAATAAAAAATATTGTTTTAAAATAATATTTATAGAATGAGAAATTAATATCTTAAATTTTAATTCTAATTATGAATGAACGTAAGAAATTAGAGAGGAAAATATATGAAATATTTCATTAATTAAATTATTAATTTAAAAAGAGAGTATATTTATTAGTTAAAAATGCCCGAAGTCTTCAATTTAAAGTTTATAATTAATGATATGTTAAATGAAGATTGAGAGGTTAGTGAGAAGTTAATATAAAATCCAATAAGTTAATTAAAATGCAAAGTTCCAATTAAAAGAATTATTAAAATTTAATAGTGAATAAAATAAATTATAATATGTAGAAATTCATTTTTTAAATAATTATATTAATCAAATTAAAATAATAAAATGAGGAGAATAAATATTAATTTAAATTAGTAACTTTAGAAAATCAATTAAATATGAGAGAAAGATTTAACTAAAAACATTTGGGGGGGGGGGGGAGGGGTGCGGAGGGGGAGAAGAGCAATTGTAATTGATTTTTAAATTATTTGAATAATGGTACATTATGTATAATTTTATATTTGCACAAGATATTTTTATATGGTTAAAGCTGAGATAAGGCGGGACTAAAATACGAATTGCTCAAGGCATTCGATCAAGGTGAGGTACTGGCATGAATCTTTTTAGTGTATAGTAAAATTTTATTTCATCTCTTAAAAATTAAATGCATTTTGAAAAATATAGTAAGATATCTCTTTATTAAGTCTTATTGCAAGTTAAAATTATACCTTTATCATTTTTCATATTCAATGATTGGCTCATTGATGAGAAGTGAAAAATATACTGTATGATTTACCACTTTCATTAGAAAAAATTGTTATATGAATGAAATGACTATATATAATGTTTTGTGTGTACATGTTGAATGATGGAACACATTCCTTATAGTATGACTGGTTCGCGATGTAACCGTGCAAGTAAATGAAAAAAGTTATAGAAAAAAAGAAAATCAGAAAAGAAGCACCATTCATTGATAATATTTTAGACGTGGTTCCTTGTGACGGTTGTATTATTTATGAGAAATGATAAAAAACATGAATAAAGGATATTGAATATATGCATAACTTTGAAGTTTGAAATAAAATGTTTAAATATAATTTATATTATGTTTTGAATGATCATGCATATTGCTCCTAATGTAGTTTAGAAGCATGCATGATTTACTCACTGCGTCTTTTATGACTCAACTCTTTTAATTTATAATGAACCATGGTATTAATTCAGAGCTTAAAATGAGTAGAAGAGGATAAATATAAATAGGTAGGGCAATGCTCTGAATGAGAAGGATTTATATTGATTTTTATTTTTACAATTCTTTTATGATTATAATGACTCTTTCATTTAATTGGATTATAATTTTAGCAAACAAAATTTTTAATTAACTTGTCTGATCGGTCTGTTTCCACATCATTAATTCGAGTCTCCAAGTAGTTAGATTGTGACACAAGCTCCACTTTTTAAAGAATCATGTTTCCACGTAAGACTAGTTTATTATTTTATGTTATTAGAAGTGTTTAAGTATATTTCTGGGAGTTAATGTTTTATATGCTTTTCGATAGGTGGATGAAAAAAAAAAATATCAACATTATAGTGAACAATTCTTTTAATTTCGAATTTCTTTCAAACTGAAATATAAAATCAACCTTCTTGCAAACCAATATTTTTATTATACTAAATCATCATAGGCGAATTTTTCAAATGCATAAATTTCAATAGATTTTTTAAATATATGAAAATTTGTTTTCAATAAATAGGAATTTTTTTGAAATCTAACATCTAATTTACTTTAAAACTATTATTATTTACAGGCAAAAAGGCAGCAAGTGAGTACATATATATTAAATGATTCATGTCATGATTGTTTGATAAGTTTTACGTTGGCTGTCAACTATTTAATATAATATTTTATTTTTCTCATCCAGAATTTTGAGACATGCATAACATAGTTTATTATAAAAAGATTCATGTAGTCGATTCCACGTAACAGGATGAAGACTTACTTATGTTGTATAGGGAGGACAATCAAATTCAAACATGTCACAGCTACAAAGTATGCGTTGAATTAATGGGTATGGAAAGTCAGTTTACAGCTGGAATGAAGGACAAAAAAGTTCTTGTGGATGCAGCCTAATAAAGTAAAACAGGCTAACCTCTTGAGTGGCTACACTAAATATACTCGGATATAATTGATCCGTGGGTGAATTCTTGGGAAGACTTCGGTTTATTTGGGTGGACTTTCTTACTGTTTTTAAAACGATTTTTTTAGTAAAAAAAAAATTTTTAAAGAAAGTTTGTTAGAAAGCAGCAAAAAAATTATCACAAATGAAGCCTTCTTTGAGACAATTTTTACGTTTAATTTTGAAAAAATTATTTTTATTTATATG